ACTTGTCAAATTTTGGTAATTCTAGCTCTTTACAAAAAAGAGATTACATCATGATCTTCAAATATTAACAATAGCTCATTAAAGTTGGATTGTATATCATATAGCTAATAACGAACGATCGGCCGAGTATCAAGTTTACGAATGAACAACTTTATTTTTGTCAAGATATTTGAGCATTGTCGTTACATATGAGTCAAATTTATGAACAGCGGCCCACCATATCATATAGCTTTATAAGAATCGGACGATTAATTAGATTTTGTATGGGAACATTTTGTTTTCTAATTTTTTTCTATCAAACTCAGCAACTTCAGGCTTCACTACTCTTCTCACTTAAATGCGAAGCAAAAGCTAAATGTCTACAAAGGTATTAAATCTTCAGCGTGCTAAAGATATGTTTCTAATGCAAACATTTTTGTAAAGATCTTTATTTGTGCTGTGTTTCACACTTTTCGGAAATGCCATCCCTTTTGGGGAAACTGATACTCGAAGGTTATAAATGCAAGGTATTATGTTTCGTCCAATCGGCTTCAAACTTATTTTCAAAGACCTTTTAAAGGAACTTAACGAACGCATATCTTAACGATTTAGGAAATTTTACCCGCAACTGAGCTTAATGGCGGAAAAGAGTTGCGTGAAAGGTTTTCGTTTACCATCTGACCGGCTTTAAACTCATTTTCAAATATCTTTGTTAACTATATGAAGCAAAAAACGTGGACTGGGAAAGGCCAGGAAACAGCAGTTAGTATATTCATATATATACAAAATGTTCCTAATGGAGTGGAGATGTTTTGCATGGGGCGTGTGCGCTTTTGAACATGTAATATACAAAGTTGGACGAATGATTGTTGTGTAAACTCGGGTACAGGGTATCTTCTAATGAGGTACTCACTTTTTATGAGGTTTTTAATAATTCCACCTAACAAATGTACACCAACCCTTCTATTTTGAATCTCATCATCCTCTCACGTTGCATAGCAAATGTTATGATGCATCGGCAACATAACTGCATGTCTGGTTTTACTTATATTGCACATGTGTAGCTTGGACGAGCAACGACCTGATGGTTGAGCTTCGCGCATCGCATCTCAATCGAAGGCATAGGGAAATCAACACGTTCTAGTGGTTATATCAGCAGCCTCAATCAAAAGCATCAATCATAGATATGCCACGTATACTCTTTTAGTGATTGTTGACCTCATCGCTAAACGGGATCTAGAGTAAACTGCAGTCTAGGTCCATTAAATTAGGGCTATATTAAATCAATGAGGCAATTGCCAAGTGATTTTAGCTACCATTAAAAACATTAGTGGATGAGGACGCCTTAAGGTATGCCACTCGTTCGCTTTAACATGCTTTTGACATTTGGTCAATCGTGCAAATCATCTTTATGTTTACTATTAAATCAGACGGATATATATTTTTTCCATTAATTGCGCTCTAAGCGCGTCCAAGCAAAAAGCTATAGTAGTTTGCATTTCCAATTTCCTTAGCATACCAGCGGCCAATTGCAACACCACTGCAAGTGCCAAACCGTCCCAATAGTGCCATTGGCAAACTCGGCTTTGCAGAAACACCATTTTTCTATGTATGAAATACTTATGCAAATATATTCATGCCTAAGAAATTCGTGTTTTTTCTTCGCACAGATTTAGCTGCAATTAGTTAACAATACGTGTTACAGCATCAGGGATACTGCTGCCAGCTTATACAAGGTTTGCCTATTTTGATACTCAGGGCCTTTTCACCTTATCGAGAGCTTTGATGACAATGGTACACATATAGCAACATGAAGAACCAAGTGACACCTGTCTTATATAGCTCTATAAGAAAACAAATAAAAAAGAATAGAAGACTCTGCGACTCAAAATATGCGGTAAGTGTAGTATATTTGCATTCCTATTATTTTTAAAAGTATTGTCCGATTATCGGATACTAACTCGCACTATGCTGGCATTGGGAGGACCTCCGCTCAAAATGTCAAGTCTCTAGCTTTAATAGGTTCTGAGATCGACGCATTAATACATGCCGACACACAGACGGTCATAACTAGATCGACTCGATGCTGATTAAATATATATATATATATATATATATATATATGTATATACATACCCATTTTTAATGGGCTCAGGGCATAAAAAACAAGGTAAGAACGCTTAAGACGAGAATGCTTGACTAAAAAATCCCATATACCCCCCTCAGTCAATATAAAAGTTGTATTTTTGGCACCACGGTTTGAAATCTTCAAATTACAAAATATTTAATAAAAATTTAAGGTGCATAATTGTTGTATTCAAATAAACTTAAATATCAAATATAGGGGCTCTAGCTTTAAAAATTTCTTTTTCATCTCAGTTTTAGAGAGGAATGTGGGATGTATCCAAAAAGTAAAGTATTTCTTACCTGTGTATACTATACGGGAACCTACATACCTAATTTGATGCATCTAGCTTTTATAGTTTTGAGTTAAAATCACGTCTAATAGCCTCTGCCCACTGAACACATTTCTGAAAATGTCACATTTTTGCAAGATGTGTAAAATGCGGCCTGTACGTTTCCCCATAAGAAAACACATTTCACACATTTTTAAAAATGTCACATTTTTTAAAAATGTGTAAATTCGCCCCGAACTTTTCGTGTATTTTGCGATGATTAATCGAGATTTCTATCGATGTTGTGAAAAATGTAAACATAAACCAGCTGATATTGCAACGAAGGCAAGCGGTAACTTTAAATTATAATTTTAAATTTTAATAATCCCACCGTTTTTAACATTTAATGTTGGCCAAATCTCGCAAAGAGTCAATTAAACAGAGCTCCTACTTCGGGGCCGTATTATTTGACTTTTGGAAGGAAATCTGTGCGTCGCTTATGTCAATTAAAGCAACTCGATCAGCTGTTTATTTAAAGAAACAGTACTTTTGCCACTCACATGTTACCGAAAACCGGTGGAACACCAATATGTAAAACTTGAAAATGTGACATTTTTAAGCCCAGTGGAGAAAGGCTATAAAAATCGATTTTCGATATTTCGAAACTGCCGAATCTTACGCTGAAGTTGCGCTGCATGATGTTTTGAAAAACCTACATTCAAAATGTTAATCCTTTTACTTTTGAAGTTTCCGAGGTCGATGCATTCGTATTGACTGACATGGCTAAATTAAATAAGTTGTATTATCTTTTTCAAAAATACTTACACTTTATGCAGCTTGACATGCATTCTTCTGCCTGTTGCATACATTGGCAAAAAAAAAACAATATACCTTTTTTTTATACATTTTCAAATGGTACATGGTATAAGTACCTGTCTTCGGGGTCAAACAAAATTTTAAAAAATAAAATATTCTCTACTCATCCTCTACACTATCAACATCCACACAATATATTTATTACCAATCCGAAATTGCAAACATTAAAACTGTCATGTACAATGAGATTTTATCCCGGTCTTTCATATTGGGCGGTCATAACACACCCAAAAGCCTCTTTGTTCGAGTTGCAGGCAATCAATTAACAAACTAAGTAAACTTTAGCCAAGAGACTCATAACCGCTCTCTCAACTAAGTAGTCAATGACTTAACTCATAACTGCTACTCTATACTTTTTGGGGTGGTAGATGCTTACTTCTGCTTGTTACAAACATTTGCACAAATACAATATACCCTATAAGAAGTAAGGATATCTTCGGCACGCGAAAGGTTTATTACCCATTTAGACATTTGCCTTAGAATCGTGATGCCGATTACAAAGTTGGTTGAAAATATCTTGAAAAACAGATTATTTTGCCATACAAAATCTCATTAGTAGTGCGATCTCCATAAAAAGCATAGCAAAAACAATAATTGCCGAGCTTCAATACACGAATATGCTTTTCGACTGATATGGCAGCTATATGATTCGGCCGAAACCGATATCTGTACTGCCTGCAAAGTTTTGAGACGAAAGCTTTAAAACTTAGAGACTAGATTAAGAAACTATAATTAATATTGTGCAGTACCGCCCAATGTGATTGTTGCTCTCAAACAGCAATAGGCACGTTAGCTAGTTAACTAGATTCGAAAACGTAGCCTTAACTGTGAGGTACGTTTATCTGCCCTTTGCTCTGACTTCATTGTCACACAGGATTGCGCATAACTATAATCTCCCAGGCGGCATTCACATTATTCGGTTGATTTGAGGCACATTGAAAATTGTTCCAAACTTTAAGCAAGTGCCGGGTAGGGTCCGAGTGTGAAGCGTGTCGGGAGTGAATTTGATTACAGCGCCCGCTTATCAAGATGTAGAGTTCAACAGTGGATCAAGGAACAAGTAAAGTTATTTATATACAGCATCTGATGGCGCACTTCGTCTGCTTTCTATTAGACAGCTGCAAACTGACTTCGTCTCCATTTTCGAAACCGTCCCAGCTAGAAGAGTCTGCCTCCCTGGCTTTTATGCTTGACTGTACAACTCACGTGTGCAGTTCTAGTCGCCGGTAAAGTTTTACAAGAACAACTGGCAATTCGAGACCGACTGCTGCGACAGGTGCCAGCGCGTCTTAGTATGCTACGTTATTTCACGCAAACATTGTTGCCAATGCTGAATACCAAAGGCAACAAAGAATATGAGGCGACATTTACATATAAGTGCGATGTTATACGACACTCAGTCGTGGCAGTGCAATGGTAATCTTAAGCACGAAAACAGAGCTATCTAAGTATAAAGTATATTTATTCTTGCGATCATCAACAACCAAGTCGGTTATGCCATTTCTGTCTATCTATCCATTAGTCTGTTTGTTTGATCGCGTTGATTTCAGAGACCATAGGACCTAGAGACTCAAAAATTGGAATAATAAAATCTTGTAAGGAAATTCATATTAATTTTCCTTGCTTTGCTCAAGTCAATAAATATCGAACGATTATTAAAGTAAATTTCGGAAATAAAAAGAGCTAAAGACCCTAGGAAATAATTAATACTTTGTTAATACATATTTTAAACTTTATCTGATAACTTACCTGATATGCCATCGTAGGTCCACCACTCCTCCCAGCTAACGGCTTGCAACACTGTAAGAAGCACAACATGCGAATACGAATTTTTTTTTTAATTGGGAATCTATGTATAAATTAATACGTTACGAAATATATATAAAAAAAAGTAAAACCATTTTTAGCAGCCTATAAACTTACAGTTTTGGGTAATTATTATATTAAGTAAGTACGACTATCTTTTTTTTTTTTATTCTTGTAGGCACTTGCCCTTCGGCTTGCATATAATGAAAATACTAAAGCTCGTAAATGCAGATTTTGGTGAAATAATTTGCCATACAAAAACTTATTTTTGACAGATTCCTACAAAAGAGCTATATTATATAGTAGTCGATCTAGATAAGATTTGGTGTAGTTAAGCATATAAATACCAAGTTTCGTTAAGAAATGATAAGCAACCAAGTAAGAGGCACTATTTGGGATTTTCTCGACTAGGGGACACCCTGAACCCCTACTGCTAAAAGGTCGATTACTTTAGCGACTATAAAAAAAATATTCCCCTCAATAAGAGCTGAACCCGGAACATTAGGTGCTGCTAGCTACCTACTCTAGTCGACAGCCATACTAACAATTCATTTTTGACGTAAAAAAACCACCTATTGAAATAGCAGCACATACACACAGCACAGAAAACAATACAATAGCAATTGCAATGCTGGTAATAGAATTTAATAACGAATCATGAATGTATGTGTGTACATGTATAGAGAAATTATTGCAATGTTAGTTGCCGACAACACGTATTAATATACCCACACGTTTTCTTAAATATCTTTTGTGTTTCTTAACCGATCTTGATGAAATGTTCAAATGTAGATCTTATTAAGCTATAGAATGTTAGTATATTCTAAAAAGGCTAATTGCACAATTGGGTGACGATTGCTATTAAATTGAAGATACTTGATATCTATACTATTTAAGAAACTACATGTCAAGTTTTGTGACACTAGCTCTTAAAACCTAGGAGATTTGCTGAAAAACAGGATTTTTATATCGATTTTTATCGATTTTTCACAAATGGTAAAAGTTATCGATTTTTGAAAAAACTTGTACTTCGCGGGCACTGGCGAGCATGGCTAGGTCGACTCGGCTATTGGTGCTGATCAAGAATATAAATGTCTTATGGGTTCGAAGATGCTTCCTTCTGCGTGTTACATACAATTGCATAAGTACATTATGTACATTTTTTACCCATTTTTAATGGGTTCAGGGTATAAAAAGTTTTTCATACATGGACTTTTATTTCGATCGATCGTATAACGACCGGTAATGTCTCCGATAAAATACAAATTATTTTTTACGTTTTTAAGTCCATCGAATAAATACCTAAAACTTTGTGGCCATGTTACTTTTGTGGTGAGTGTTAAAGCCGAAAAAAAGCGGTGGATTTAAAAAAAAACCTTTTAAATAAATTCTCCCAAGGATCTTTGAATTTGATGAAACACGTATTGATTAATTTCATTGTATATATATGGCTTTGGCTCTTGTTTTTATACCCTGAACCCATTGAAAATGGGTAAAGAGGGTATAATGTATTTGTGCAAATGTATGTAACAGGCAGAAGCTAGCATCTCCGACCCCATAAAGTATATATATTCTTGATCAGCAGCCGATCAACAGCCGAGTTGATCTAGCCATGTCCATCTGTCTGTCCGTGTGTATAAAAGCAAGGATCTCAGAACCTTTCAGAGCTAGAGACTTAAAATTTAGAATGTAGGCCCTCCTAGTGCCCGCACAGTTCGAGTTTATTTCCGATAGTCGATAACTTGCCCTGTTTTCAAGTAATCGATACAACCCGAAATCAAAATCCTGTTTTTTGAGCAATTTTGATAAATAATATGAGCTCGTGTCACCAAACTTGAAAATAGCATATATGTATATATATATCAAGAATCTTTAATTTTATAGCTGTCGCCACCTCCCCGCTACAACCACATAGCTATAAATAATGTAAATAAACCAATTTGAACTATCCACCAATTAAAGCCACAATCTAAATGCAATTGACTTTTTGAAAATACACGAATATTGTATAGCACAATAAGATCTACTGTTGAAAATTTTATCAAGATCGGTTAAAATACACAAAAGTTATTAAAGAAAACGTGTTTTTTGGCTGGCCACGAGTTTAGGGCAGCTAGCGCTAATTTCAAGAATTTTTGTATACATCTACAAACACACATTCATGCGCGTCTTTATTGAAGTCTATCAACAGCATATCAGTTGCGATTGTATTGTTTTTTTATGCTGCTATTTTAATTGGTTTTTTTCTCATTAAATGTCAATGATTGGTGTGGCTATTGAGTAGTGGCGGCGGAAAGTAGCTCGCTCAGTTCTGTGTAGCTTCTAGAATAGTATATATACATATATCAAGTATCTTTCATTTTATAGCTATCGCCACCTCCCCGCTACCGCCGGAAAGCTATAAATCATGTTAGTAAGCCAACTTGTATTGCCTATCTTATTAAGCCACAATTTAAATGCAATTGTCATTTTGAGAATACACGAATATTTTATAGTACAATAAAATCTACTACTGAAAATTTCATCAAGATCGGTTAAGAAACATGACAGAAAATGCGTTTTGGCCTGCAAACACGTGCAGCAGTAAGCGCAAATTCCAAGAATTTCTGTATACATGTACACACACACATTCATGATCGTCATCTTTGAATTCTATCAACATCATTGCAATTGCGATTGTATTGTTTTCTGTGCTGCTATTTTAGTTCGCTTTTTCTCATTAAGACTTAATTATTGTTTTGGCTATTGAGTAGACGGCGGCGGAAAGTAGCGCGGTCAGTTACGAGTTCGAACCTTGCCGAGGAAACTATTTTTTTTTTATTTTTGCTGTTGTGGCTGTTGCGTAGAGGCGGCAGCAAGTAATGCGGTCAGTTGCGAGTTCAAACCCTGCCAAGGGACCTTTTTTTTTAATTTATCTTTATTACTACTAAACTACAAACGAGCGCGTAGCGCGAGCTGCATTTGGTTCAGGGTATCCCCTAGTCGAAAGCTCCCGACTAGAACCTCTTACTTGTTTCTTCATCGTCATTGTAATCGCATTGCAGTCAGTTATGATTTTAAACTTTATGCCTAATACGTACACACTCCATTAAATTAGAGCAGATATGATGGCAAGAACTTCTAATTCGTATGAATCGTACTTTTCTTCAGCTGCATTTGTCTTACGGCTCATATACTGAACAGGATGAAACAAACAGCCTTCTGGGTCTTTCTGCAACAATATTCCACCAAAACCAAACTTGCTAGCATACGTGTGAATTTCCGTTTGTAACTTGGGATTATATAATTTTAATACAGGTCCACTGGTTAAGGCTGTCATCCTCAAAAATTTTTGAATATCCTTTTTATCCCGTGGTACCGGAAAATTTGCAACAGCCTGGGTCTTTACCTTGCTCGGAGTTATAGTGCCCAGTTGCACTATATACTCTAAGAAGCTAACTTTCCCTTGCAACAGTTGACACTTCGACCAATTTATGCGTAGACCATTCTTTCCTGCAACTTGCAACACTCTTTTGGGCTTCACATGGCCCTCATCAACATTGCTGCTCGGAATGACGTCCTCCATATAAACGACCGCATCATTATTTTGGATTAATTCTCGCATAACTGCCATTATAAATCTAGTAAACACTGCTGGAGAGTTTGAAATTCCGAAAGGCACATATACAAATTCATACTGCCCAATTTGTGTCACGAATGAAGTATATTTTTTTGAGCCTGATTTAACTGGTACGTGGAAAAATCCATTTGTCAAACCTAATGCACTAAAAACTGACCAAACCTGCTGCTTTTCAATTACGGTATCCATTTGAGGCATAAGAAAATTATCACGAAACACCTTTTCGTTTAATTTACGGTAGTCGCAGCACAAACGTTTTCTGCCATTATTCTTGGCCACTAAAACAACTGGTGAGATATATTTCCATATACTGGGTACTTGATAATTTTCTCCGCTAGGCATTCCTTGACTTGCGCATCAACAATTTTCTGATCACACACGGCTATACGTCTCGAATGCTGAAATACTGGCATCTCGTCTATTAAATGTATCTTCATCTCAATTGGAGAGCTAGGATTCCCAATTGGGTCATAAGAATATTCTAGTTCCCCAACCTCTTATTTTGCAACTTATTCAAATATGACAAATCCAATTCGGTAGTATGTGCGTCTTGGTCCAAAATTAACATGCACATACTTTCAATCTCATTAAACAGCTCAAAACAAGAACTATTGTCAGCGCTGATCATTTTATTTTCTACATCAACTTTGAGTTTTAATACAGTTCCCCTTTTAGTCACTTGCAAGTCATCATAATTCATAATGGTTCTGCCAAGAATTGCTTCGAAACTTATATCCTCATCTGGTACAACATGTAACTCGATTTTCATTTGAATATTGTCAATCTTTACGGGTATTTTAAAGCTTCCAAAAGTCAGAATGTGGCTGTCAGCTATACCCGTTAGAGTCTTAGAACATCCGGTTAACTGCCTGATTCCGAAATTCCGATAGACACACCTACGCATAAGGCACAGGTCCGCTCCGGTATCCACTAATCCTTTGCAAATCACAATCTAAGCAAGAAGAAGTGAATGTGCCTAATGACTTTAGCATCAACTTTTCGTCTCAGGCAGCATTCGATTTTTCTTGTTCTTGTTTATAGTGGCTCTCACCATTACACTGCACGGAACGGTGTCCTGGCTTACCACATTTAAGACAAGAAAAAAGTCGGCACCACATTTAAAAAATTTGCGGCTTTTATTTGCTTAAAAGTATTGACCCACGGTAGTCTCTCTTTTTGCAATTGTCGATCCATGTTTACTGGGCGGTGCGCAAAAACCACGAACTTTCTGATAGGTTTCTATCTGAACTTTCAACTGTTTGATTGTTCGAGTTTGATACAATAGCGACTTGTTTGTTCTAGAATCCAGTATGCCTTCTATAAAATAGTCAATCAAGTTCTCATCCTCGAGATCGATAGATTTTGCTATTTCCAT